AATCTTGACATGAACGTGTTACAAAGAAAGCAAGAGAGAAAAGATTGTTTGTTTTATGGAAAACTTTATTAGAGATACTAGTGTTAGGGTTATGAACTAAGGTCTGGGATAAGGGGGGAATTTAGAGTTGTCATCAAAAACAACAAAGGATGAGCTCATGTCCTTTGCAGGGACATGGATGAAGCTGGAAACCATCATTCTCAGCAAACTAACACAATGAGTGACACTGCATGTTGTCACTCATAGGTGGGAATTGAACAATGAGAACCCTTGGACACAGGGCAGGGAACATCACACACTGGGGCCTGTCGGGGGTGGGGAGTTGGGGGAGGGATAGCATTAGGAGAAATACCTAATGATGAGTTGATGGGTGCAGCGAACCAACATGGCACATATATACCTATGTAACAAACCTGCACGTTGTGCACATGTACTCTAGAACTTAAAGTATAATAATAATAAAAAAATAAAAACAAACAGAAAACAGTTCTCAAACCTTGGGTTGTGTGTCATAATGGGAAGAGGTGGCCTCTAGCCTTAGCTCTGCCACTGCTATGTGACTCAAGATAATCCATTCATTCATTCATTCAACATTTCTGGAGCAGCCATTCTGTGTCAGACGCTATGTTCAGCACTGGGGCCACGTTGTGTGGAACAGATAAAGAACCTGTTCTCCAATCACACAACTTCTCCGAATCCCATTTCTTTGTTTGCAATGTGAGGGCTGCACTACAATGAGCTCTCAAGACCCCCTACCCCTGCTTCTTGATTCTTTCACGTGGGAGCAAAATGTGCCCAGAAAAACAATAACAGGAAAAGTGATACCAATATTACATGCCAGACATTATGCTAGCTAATCACTTTTATATACATTGCCTCATTTTGTTTTCTCAAGAATTTCCTAAAATAGGTATTATTATGCTCATTTTCCGGGTGAGGAAACTAAGAGTTGAGAGGTTGAGCTGCTTTTTGTTATAAGCAAGAAAGAGGTAGAGCCAGACTCAAAACCAGCTTAGCTAACTCCAAACTCAGCATTTTTCTCTCCTACTCTGTTCATGTTTTGAAAAGCTCATTAATCTCCCCTGGACTTTGCTCTGGGATACTTATAAAAAATTTACTCAAGAATTCATGGCAGTACGAATATAAAAAGAAAAAGAAAAGAAAATAAACAAAAAACCTACCTCATTCTTGCCTTACCGGTTTTCTGCTAGCCTTCCCTCCTTCCTTACCTCCTCAACTTTTCTTATTCATCCCAAGAGTGATCCTGCCACGTCAGCCAAGACCAGCACCCCCACTGCTTTGAAGGAAAATAAGGCACACACAGATTGCAGGAAGTGTTATAAAGAGTCATGGGCCATTTATTAGTTGGTGTTTCCCTGCAAGGAGAGGTCTATGGTAGGAGATGATTCAAAAACTGTCCAAGGGCTTTCTTATGCTATCTTTTCCCCAAAGATGCCTTTTTCTGTTTCTCTTTTTTTCGGACTATACATGGTCACTGTAGAAAATTTGAAAACTATCTACTCTTCAGAGATAATCACTCTTAGTATTTGGTGTATTTCCTTCTGTGGTGGTTAATTTTATGTCACCTTGGCTAGGCTATAGTGCCCAGTTGTTTGGTCAAGCACCAGTGTAAATGTCATTGCAAAGGTTTGTTTTGTTTTTATTTTTAAGATGTGATAAATATTTTAATCAGTAGACTTTGAGTAAAGTGGACTACCCTCTATAATGTGGGTGAACTTCATTCAGTTGAAGATGTTAAGAATAAAGACAGGTCTCCAAGACTGAGGTTTCCTGAAGAGGAGGCAATTCTGCTGCAAGACTTGCAATGTAGAATTTCTGAGTTTCTAGCCTACGAGTCTGGTATACTGATTTCAGATTTGCCAGCCCCCACAATCACAGGGCCAATTCCTTAAAATACATCTCTAACTCTGTCTCTTTCTCTCTACACAAACACACACACACACACACATACGGATGTGTGTGTGTGTGTATGTGTGTGTATATATATGTATGTATGTATATATACTTGGATGTAAGTATATCCTATTGGTTCTGTTTCTCTGGAGAACCATGACTGATATACTTTCTTTTTGCTCTTCATTTCCTCTCGATTAACACTTTTCAAACTGTCATGTCTGTGTGTAAATCACCTGTCTTGTTCAAGTGCAGCCTCTAAGTCAGTGGTGGTGGGCTAAGATTCTGTGTTTTGGACAAGCTCCCAGGTAATGCTTATGCTGCTGCTCTATGGACCACATTTTGTGTAGCAAGGCCTTATATAATCAACTTTTTCTTTTAAATAATGTCATGAGCTCAGTTATTCTCCTAAAACATTAACTTGTAACTGTATTGCACTCCATCATACGAGTTGCCATAAATTTGTTCAGGCTTTAGAAACACATTTCCCAAAGGCTGTTTAGAAAAATTGTCTGAGTATAATCTCACCCAAAGGCCTGACTTCTGTAGCACAATAGAAAAATACTAGAAATGTAGAAAAATTGTCCAAATATAATCCAACCCAAAGGCCTGGCTTCTGTAGCAAATCAAGCCTGCATGCTCAGCCCCTGGCTTCAAGGGCTTCCCTTAGTGTTTTTTGTTTGTTTGTTTGTTTTTTGTTTTTTTTTTCTTTTCTTTTTATTTCAATAGCTATAAAAATTCCCTTGGCTTTTGTCTGGGTGCTTATATTATTACTGTCTGCTGCGAAGGGGAACCTACTGAATACACATGGTTCTCAGAAGCCATTCATACATTCCTCCATTTATTCATGTAATAATATTACTCAATTATCTCATCAGTTGATGTTATAAGCACCATGCTGGGAGCTATATACAGGGGATTCATTTAATAACCAATCATAAAATGAATGTAATTGCAGTTATGATAATTACATGGTGATGTAAGTATATAACAAGAAACTGCTCTAATCTAAGGGTCAGGAACACTTCCTAAGGAAGTGACATTTGAGTTGAGCTCTGGTTGTCCTGGGGATATACCACTCAGTTCCTTAACTTTTGGCTAGTCCTTTCTGAATAGGTGGAGGCTTTGATGACAGAACCTTGGAAGTCACCTTTAGTGAGAGGTGGCACACATGAAGTCTCCAAAGGTCTCCCTAGAGGTCCATTGTAGCTGCTGCTCCTCATTCTCCCTGTCATACTCTTCTGGAGATGACACTTCAGGGGAGTTCCCCTTATGTCTGCTTCTGGGCAGCATCTCAATTTCCCTTTACTGAATCTGAACACAATCTGATTTCCCATCTGTTACAGGAAATACAGTCTAAATAAGAAGTTATCTTAAGGTAATTCATCATAGGCAAATATTCTGATCTTTGAATCAGTCATTATTTCAGACACTTTCTGCCACTGCTCTTTCTATTAATGTGGGTAATGATAGTTGAAAAGAAAGAAATCGGTACTACAAAGCTACAGTAATCAAAACAGTGTGGCACTGGCATAAGGATAGACATATAGAACAATGGAGTAGAATTGACAGTCCAGAAATAAATCTATACATTTATGGTCAATTGATTTTTGAAAAGGGTGCTGAGACCATTCAATGGGGAAAAGAATACTTTCTTCAGCAACTGGTGTTGGGGCAACTGTATATCCACATGAAAAAAAAGTGAAGTTGGACCCCTACCTCACACTATATATAAAAATTAATACAAAATGGCCAATAACCTAAATATAGGAGTAAAAATAATAAACCCTTTTGAATAAAAAATAGGAGGTAAATCTTCATGACCTTGGAATTAGCAATACATTCTTAAATATGATACCAAAAGCGTGAACAACAAAAGAAAAAATAGATAAACTGAACTTCGTCAAACTTAAAAGTGTTTATGCATCAAAGTACATGATTTTAAAAATGAGAAGACAACCTACAAAATGGAAGATAATTTCAAATCATACATCTAATAAGGACTTGGTATCCAGAATATATGAAGAATTATTACAACTCAACAACAAAAAGACAAACAACCCAACTAAAAAAAAAAAAAAATTGGCAGATAACTTGAATAGACCTTTTTCCCAAAGAAGATATACAAATGGCTAGCAAGTACATGAAAAGATACTCATCTCATTACTCATTAAGGGGATGCAAATGAAAATCACAGTGGGGTACCACATCAAGCCTACAAGGAAATTTATTTTAGTGGGAAATAAGTGTTGGTGATGTGGAGAAATTGGAGCACTTATAGATTTCTGGTGGGTAGGTAAAATGGTGCAGCCCCTATAGAAAACATTTTGCTGGTTCCTTAAAAATTAAGCATAGAATTACCATATGACCCAGCAATTCTCGTCCTAAATATATACCCAAAAGAATTGAAACCTGATATTCCAACAAATAGATGTACATGCATGTAGATATTCAAAATATCCAAAAGATGGAAACAATCCAAATACCCATTAACAGATTAATGGATTTTTAAAATGTAGTTTTCCCATTGAATAGGGTATTATTCAGTCATAAAAAGGATTGAGATGTTCATGCATGCTACAATGTGCGTGAACATCAAAAACATTACACTAAGTGAAAGAAGCCAGGAACAAAAGGCCACATATTGTATAATTCCATTTATATGAAATATTCAGAATAGGTAAATTTATAGAAACAGAACAGCGATTAATGATGCCAGGGCCAGGAGGCAAGGAGTATGGGCAGCAATTGCTTAATGGGTACAGGGTTTCCTTTTGGGTGATGAAAATGTTTTGGAACTACATACAGGTGCTGGTTGCACAACATTATGAATGATTAAATAACTTATGTAAGTGGTTAATTTTTTTTAGTTAAAAAAATTTTTTTTAAATTATTTCACCTCAATAAAAAATTAAATAATAAAAAAAATCAAGATTAGATTCTTTCTTTCCCTCTTGTGTCTGCCATATTTTATGGTTAATTTTAAAACATAGTAACAAAATTATAATGTATCTTTGGTTATTACTCCCTTGGGTTTTTATCATGCTAATGCATTCTCCCATTATTTTCTACTTTGTACAATTCAGATTTCAGTCCAAGGCTTCAGGTACATTGCAAACAGCTGCACTGGAATTACGCATCTTACCATTAACGACATGCCAACTCTGACGGACAACTGTGTAAAAGTAGGTAATTGGAAAGTACCTTTTCTTTTCTGTCCCATAAGATAGATATATGTTCTAATGGCCTGAATTACTGAAAAATATGAATGGACTTTTCATTTTAGTTATTTTTTAATAGTAATAAAATCATTTAAAAGTTTCCACACATGCACATACCCTTGAAAACGTTTGAATCCTTAAATATCCTAAGAAACCTTGTTTCACAGTTAGGATTTTTTTTAGTGATGTTATAGCCTAAGCATAAACTTTGAGTTCAGTTCTCCATGCTAAGCTGCCAAATGTAGTAATTTTTTTCAGTAGTCCATTTCTCATGTTTTCCCATACTCTTAGTACATGATTTAATTCTGATTCTTCCACATTACTGAAATGTAAGTGTGTTAAAATGTATTGAAAAATCCAGTTTTCTTTGAAATTAGGAAAATTAATAGTTAACATGTCTGTCTCTAATATATTGAAGGAAAAAATGACTTCATTAGTTTGCTAAACCTGTTCTGTACCCTTGATTAATTTAATCATTTTTTTCTTCTGAAGGCTTTAGTTGAAAAGTGCTCTCGTATTACATCGCTGGTTTTCACTGGTGCACCGCATATCTCCGATTGTACTTTCAAAGCTCTTTCTACTTGTAAACTCAGAAAGATCCGATTCGAAGGTCTGTTATATTAAAAATGTGGTTCAGCATTATCATTTACTTTTACTCTTGTGGCATTATAAATACAATACTTGTCTTTTCTTCTGTTTTTTTACAAACAGGAAATAAAAGGGTTACTGATGCATCCTTCAAATATATAGACAAGAATTATCCAAATCTCAGTCACATTTATATGGCTGACTGCAAGGGAATAACAGACAGCAGCCTCAGATCCCTTTCACCTTTGAGGCAACTGACTGTGTTGAATTTGGCAAATTGTGTAAGGTAATGAGTCATTCAGTAATATACTCAAGAAATGTTGATTATCTAGTATGTCCCAGGTCCTCTCCTACGGAACTTATGGTTCGTGGGGTAAACATGAAAGTCAGGAGTCCAAGTGTTAAAGTAGAGATAAGTGCAGAGTTCTGTGGTTATAAGAAAGAGGGCTCCCAACCCAGATTGATTATATGGGGTGTAGGGAGAGCTCAGGATATGAGGAATTATGGACTCTTGTAAAATTAAGCAAACTCACAGGAATACTTACAGGCTACCTTTCCTAATGAGGGTTTCCATAGCTAGTTCAGTTAACATGATCTTTTCCCATATGGACTTTCTGACTTGCTTATGAAGAACCAATCTCACCGAAGGTTTTTCCTCTTGGGTACTGGTTAGATTTTTCGTCTGTGTAGAATTTCTGACAAATGGACAGAGGGTGAGTTCTTACTGAAATTCTTTCTTTAGCTGGTCCACTATTGGACTACTCTCCTGGTATTCTCGGGAGCAAATTCTGTTTTTATTTTTTATTTATTTATTTTTTTTTTTGAGACAGAGTCTCACTCTGTTGCCCAGGCTGGGGGGCAGTGGCATGATCTCAGCTCACTGTAACCTCTGCCTCCTGTGCTGAAGTGATTCTCCAGCCTCAGCCTCTTGAGTAGCTGAGATTATAGGTGTGTGCCACCCCACCTGACTAATTTTTATATTTTTAGTAGAGAGAAGGTTTTACCATTTTGGCCAGGCTTGTCTGGAATTCCTGACTTCAAGTGATCCACCTGCCTCAGGCTCCCAAAGTGCTGGGAATACAGGTGTGAGCCACCACACCCAGCCAAGGATCAAGAGAGTTCTTGCTGAAACCCCTTCCCCAGTGGGTAGCTCAGCCTCTTACCTATGTAGGATTCTTATAATCTTATAGGACCACATAATAACAAAATAGCATTTGATCCACAAAATTATACTTGAGCCACATTGAAGTTGGCTAATATTTGGGAAAGCACAAGTCAGCATAATAATCAAAGCTACACAGAATCTTTTATTTATTCATTTTTATTTTTTAGAGACAGGGTCTTGCTCTGTTGCCCAGGCTGAAGTACAGTTGCACAGTTACTGTAACCTTGAACTCCTGGGCTCAAGTGATCCTCCTGCCTCAGCCTCCCATGTAGCTAGAACTACAAGGCACTCTTCATCATATCCAGCTAATTTTTAAATTTTTCTAGAGACAGGGTCTCACTATGCCCAGGCAGGTCTTAAACTCCTGGCTTCAAGTGATCTTTCCACCTTGGCCTCCCAAAATGCTGGGATTATAGGCATGAGCCACCGCACTGGCCCACTACACAGAATCTCAACCTATGTTGCCTATTATTAAAATGGGAAGGCACCATGGGTCATTGGGAGCTGGAGGAGATATAAGGGTTTGGAATGGAAAAAACCTGGATTAGGAAATGAGGGCTCCAGCCAAGGGCCAGTGAAGAATCAAAGACTCCTGCCAACAGCCATGTGAGTGAGCCTGAAAGCAGACCCTACAGTCCCAGTCAAACCTTCAGATGACTGAAGCTCCAGCTGGCATCTTGACTGCACACTCATGAGAGACCCTGAGCTAGAACTACTCTAGTTCACTTCCAAATCCCTCAGATCCAGAAACGAGGAGATAATAAATATTTGCCATTTAAGCCACAAAGTTTGGATCAATTTGTTACATTTAATAATAACGGTGAGATGCAGACACAGACAGACACACACTACATAAGTGTGTGTATCAACTAATTCTATCTGTATGAATATGTGAAATAAAACTGAATTTCACTCTTGTATTTCACACAGGCTTCTGCAGGTTTTTTTTTTTTTTTTTTTGAGATGGAGTCTCACTCTGTCACCCAGGCTGGAGTGCAGTGGCACAATCTTGGCTCACTGCAACCTCTGCCTCCCGGGTTCAAGCGATTCTCCTGCCTCAGCCTCCCAAGTAGACAGGCACCCACCATCATCCCTGGCTAATTTTTGTATTTTTGTAGAGACAGGGTTTCACCATGTTGGCCAGGCTGGTCTTGAACTCCTGACCTCAGGTGACCCACCTGCCTTGGCCTCCTAAAGTGCTGGGATTACAGGTGTGAGCCACTGTGCCTTGCCTAATTAATCTTAAATGGAAGTTTTCTGCCTCCAGAAGTAGAGGTGACAAGACACTTCAAGGGGCTCTGCCAAAAATAGTTCAGATCCTTGATTAAATATATTTTCAATATATTGCTGAGCTCACAAAGAGTAAGAGAAATATCCAGTAGCCCTGAATCCCCTGGTTCTTTTCTGCTCTCTCAATGAACAAATTCACTGAGATGAATAGTGAATAACCAGCAAACATAAAAGGTTGAGCATCTCTGAACACAAATGTTATGACAATAGTTGCCTTTGAGAGAATCAGCTCTGAGCAAGACTCAAAGTAGGGAAGCAGAACCTGAGACTTCTGCAGAGTTTGTACCTCTTTAAGGGGGACAGAGTGGTCTCAGGTAGGTAGTTCCTGAGCTTCTGGAAGAAGTTAGCACAAAGCTTCTCAGGCTAGAGATTAAGATCAAATAAATAGGTACTCAAAGTCAAAGATTGCCAAAATGCACAAAGATACAAATCACCATGAAAAAGAGTCACAGAAACAGCAAAATACATTTGACCTTCAGGTAATTCAGATATAGGAATTGTCAGACAATTAAGTAGCCATGTATGAAATGTTCAAAGAAATAAAAAATGGAATCAGAAATATAAGCAGACAACCAAACATGATAAAACAACTAGATTTATCTGGGGAAAAAACCTAACTTTTAGAAACAAATGATGTAATATAGTTATTGAAATAAACAATGGATTGCTGATCAGCAGATTAGAACTCACAGAGGAGAGAAGTATAGAGCTGGAAGATCATTCTGAAGAAATGACAACAGAGGGAGGATGAAAAAATATATAGGGTAAAAAGATAAAGCTTAGTATTGTAAAGGTAAACTGAGGCTGGAGCTGAACTGGGAACGAAGACACAAGGCAAATGGCAGTGAGAATAGCCTTTATTAGGACTCACGGGCGAGGTTTCTCAGTCCAAAGGCGTGGGCCAAGGAAGTCGCGCTGAGGGAGGAGGATAGGGGCTTTTTATAGCCTGAGAGGTAGGGAAGCTGGTTGTGCAAACAGGGCCTGGGGGG